ACGTAGAATTTAATTGAACATAAATTTCAACAATTCGAACATTGGGTCCCACATAAAATTGTGGTCAAAGTTGACCCACTCGTGGTCAAATGGGCACCATTTCCAACAATTGAAATTCTGAAACGATTTATTCTGAGTTTCAAAGTCGAGGTATCTATTTACTATTAAATGTTTCCAAACTTGGGAGAGTAGAACACAATTAAGAATTAAATTTTTCTCAAGTTATGGCTACTGGTTTCAAGCACCTTGTATACTCTGTAGTTGGGCGATGCAACTTCTAGCTTCAATTGATTGCTTCCTGAACTGTTAGTTGGATGGAAAATTGAGACTTAGAAAAAGGAAATATTTTTGACATCTTACCATATCTTGTGCCTTATAGTATGATTTGACTGATTGATCACATTGGACACTTAGGACACATAATGAACACTTGCACCTTATGCGGGAGTTGAGAGGTTTTTATTCAACCAGTCCAGGAAGTTTTCCACTTAAAAAAGAAGTGTATCTATACTTTTTATTCTAAACTGTCATTCACGTCGAAGAGATTAATTGCCAATGTCAAACTTCACATCACCCGTGGCACGGTATGTTAGTCTACATGATTGTACAACTTAAAAATTGTACACAAGCATGAATTTTTTGTTTTGACTTTTCACTTTCATCCCCACAAAATCAGGATTGTATATGTACACACTAGTAGCTCTCACTGTATTTCGGGATGGAAAATGCTATTTGTACTCACACATTTTTACAAAATGGTGTACTCACTCTNATTATATTAGCACAAAATAAACATTTGTTTATTGCTACTGGGACCTCCATGTAGAAGATAGATAATGGCATAGATGGAGTTTTATGTGGCAATATTCTTTTATTAGCATGCTTATTTCACAGCAACTATACCATTCGATTTGTGTATAAATTAATACAAGGAAAATGCTATTTGTACTCACACATTTTTACAAAATGGTGTACTCACTCTCACAAAAAATGAGGGCCCCACGTGAATTCAAAAATGGTGGCGGTGTGGTCCCCACTCCTCTTGTGTGTAGTGAGTAAGTGAGTTTGTAAACCATGTAGTACTTCTAGCATGGTCCTTTCGGGATATGGCAATGGGATGAATTTTGCATGGGGATATGCCTGAACCTGAACCTACCGGATAGCATATTAGGCTATTGGAATCTGGCTAAACCTGCTTATGATACTCATTATGTTTGAAAATTGGCCTTAGGTTTTCAATGCCCTACATCGTTTTAACATTGTCATAAGTCACATTCTTATATGAAAATGTTAATGTCGTAATAGTATTGCTCTTTAATTAACTTGAACTTCTTGAAGATATTTAAGGACTTGTATACAATTCATGTTTCTCCTAATATTCTTATTAAAGAAAATTTTACCTCCTTTTCTCTCAAGTAATTTTATTTTTTCTCCTAGTTATGAACTATAAAACTTAAAGAATTAATTAGCGGATTTAGGTACCTGTGTGGCCCCGTAAGAAAAATAAGAAGATGTGATTTATAGATAGGATATTATAAGACACCCAATATGGTTTGAGAAGTAGGGTCCCCTAATTTGAGAAGGTGTCCAATCCGCTTTCCCTATTGCATTGATCATCCATATCACTTACAAGAAAATTATTTTGTTCACACCAGTAGAAAATTGCTTATTAATTTGTGCTCTGCACAGTGCTGATTATAAGTTATGATGCCACAACTTCATATTTTATTCTGACTGCAGGAGAGAAGTGATCGTGACTTCATCTGTTTTGGCATGTGAGGTGGTAAAGGTAACTATTTTTCTACACTTTCTTTTCCAGCTTTTTCAATTTGTGATTCATATGAATGATAGCTAACATAGCTATTTAATATACGTAATAGGTTGTTTGTGCCTCTATTCTTATGGCAAAAGATGGTACTTTGAAAAGGCTATTCAAGGAGTGGACTTTGATTGGCTTTCTGACTGCATCAGGACTCCCAGCTGCAATTTATGCACTGCAAAATAGCTTGTTGCAGATATCTTACAGAAATCTTGATTCACTCACATTTTCAATGCTGAACCAGACCAAACTATATTTCACAGCTTTGTTCACCTATATAATATTAGGGTATGTGATCACTTGAATCCATTCAAAGCAGGGTGGTTAGAGACGGGCTTCTATTTATTCAAATATGATCAGAGTGGACAGATGTACAGAAGAGATAGTTCTTTTTCAATTTTCTGAAAATGCGTATATTCCAAACACATGCGTGATTCTTACTTCAACTGGCATCTTTCCTAGACTTGTTGGATAACCATCTTCTAAAGATTTTAATGAAAAGGTAAATTTCGCGAGTTAGATTCATGTTGTTGTCATATTCAACTGACTCTTTTAGGTTCTAGCATCAGTCGGCGTAAATAGTCGGACTCCAATTGTTGCATGGTGCCAAGTTGCACTTTTGACGATTGGGTTTGTTATGTAGAATATTTTCTGCATAATAATAAGTCACGTCAGTTAGGAAATCTACCCTCTGGGCCAAGTTTAGGTTTATCTTCAAGGCATTATTTTAGTTCTAATTGAGTCTCTACAAGAAAATTGTCACCAAGTAAATCTTAGAACCATGGTTTCTGTGGGCATTAGTAATCATCATTTGATTATACGCCTGTCATACTGAGATTCTCATTTTTCTCTTCCCTAAGATGGCAATTCTTTGAAAACCCTGCAACTCAATATCGTTAAACCCCTTTTTATTGAGACTTAATTAACTAGATAACTTTATAGAATTGCATTTCAGCATGTTAATGTTGGATTTTTTCCATCAGAAAATTTATGTATACCTTTTTTGTCTTTTCTTGGTGTGATTTGTAGGCAGAGGCAATCAATTCAACAAATCGGTGCTCTTTTCTTGTTGATAAATGCTGCCATCCTTCTAAGCATCGTTGAAGGTTCCAGCAAAGCAACAAGTACTGATATCCCTGATGAGATTTTATTCTATGGAATTGTTCCAGTCCTGGTAGCTTCAGTACTTTCTGGTCTCGCTTCTGCATTATGTCAGTGGGCTACTCAAGTAAGCAATTCTTTTCATATCTGATTTATTTGATACTTGTATTCTCTCCTTTTCCTTTACGTTCTCGTTTTTTTCCTATAAATAGGTTAAGAAACATGCATCATACTTGATGACTGTCAAGATGTCGGTAATTGGAAGCCCGTGCATGCTGGCTAGTGCTTACAAGTCTCCAGACGGAAAAGCTATAAGACAATGTGGATTCTTTTATGGCTGGACTCCCTGACATTGGTAATAATCGATATTGAATGACACTGGGACAATATAGAGGTTTTCTATATTATTTGAACTTGCAACTTTGCAGGAACAAGAAATGCTGTAAAGCTTCTAAGTTATCTTGGTTTCATTTTTCTCGTGCTTATTTTATTTGAGCTGAAAAATTGTCCATGACAACTAATCTTTTAAAATCAAAGGTGCATTTACATAATATGATACCATCAAATTATTTATGCTTAGAAAAGTTTCATGTGAAAGTAATAAATTTACCCTAGATCATTCATCTGCAAAAGAATTATGTATGTGTGATTAACTGATTATAAGCTATTGAAAGTAATTTCTTAATTTTGGATGCTACATTTTTTTGTTTCAGATCTCTGTTTCACTGAATGCTGTTGGTGGGATTCTTGTTGGTCTCGTGACATCTTATGCTGGTGGTGTCCGAAAGGTAAGTCTTAATAGCATCACATAAGATGTATAGAATTTCGTAGCAATATTTGAAACCCAAAATCAAGATTAAAAAACTAACGGGTTTTAACTTGCACTATTCATGTCATATATTGACTGTAAAAAGCTTAAATCCACAAATAAATTTGTAAGAATTCCCATTCGTAACAAGCACCCATAGCATCATAATACTATGATTGTCTTGTTAAATTGCTGTCTGTATACTGCAAATCCTTAGGTGAAACCAATGAATTTTCTGGACCTGGAAGGGTGTGGAGATTTATGGATAGAGCACCATCGCAACTTGTTCTACGTAAAATACAGAACTATGAAGTGAATTAGATATATGGCCATATGGGGCATGTTTGGTTTTACAGAGTGGACAACATTGGAAAGTATTAAGAAAGAAAAAGAAGCTAGAATCATATTGATGTATTTAAGCATGTGCTAACGGATTAAGCTTTGTTAGTGATCCAACCAGAGAGTGATTATTTCCGTGCTGTTCCAAGTTGTCATAAATGCGTAGAAAAGAAAAACAAAGAGACAATATAACACATTGTATGAACTATGAATTGTGAAGTGGCCACGTCCATGTTTGCACTCTATATCGTTTTGCTCTTGTATGTTTTCCTTCTATATTTATGCAGGGATTTGTCATTGTGTCTGCACTGCTTGTCACTGCTTTGCCACAGTTCGACTTTGACGGGAAACCACCTTCTCCGTACTGTCTTGTTGCGTTTCCACTCGTGATCACTAGCGTATCGATATACCAAAAATATCCATATCATCTTAAAAAGAAAGACTAGTTAATCAAGAAACATGTACAGAATTAGGAGAAGTGTTAAATTAGCCTATTCTTTGTGCATCATGCTAGAGATTACCAACCTCATTCATACCTTGTAACGAACATCAGTTGGGTAAGGAGACTTGCTGGTGAGGGCTAGTTTAT